TATTATGACCACAAATGTTTAGAGGGAAGATTTCTTTAATTTTTTTTAGGCTTAGCTTTCCATTGACGTCTGTCAAGTTGAGGGTTGATATTTTTTACAGAAAGGTAACATTATTATTAGCAAAAAAATATTGAAAATCAATTATTTGTGTAATATTTATTTATTTAACTGGCTTTACGGCTCTGGGTTCTAGACCTTCTGAGCCTATCTTATCTTTCGGGATCTTCATTTTTATACGTTTTTTCTTCACAATATGCTGATGCACCACATAGTGAAGTGTTTGGGAGATTTTGACAACAACTCAACCCACCGGATTGTTGATGACGATGTCACTCAAGTTCATACACCGCCTAAGCGATCAAATAACTTGAGCTTTATATCAACATCAAAGCACTTGTTTCGTCGTTTCCTCTAATACTTTACTCGCGCAGATACTTAATTCACGAAATCGCATCACTTTTACGAATCAAAATCCACTTCAAACCATTATTTAAGCGTAAAACAGGAGCAAAAATCCGTCGACGGCCAAGTTCCCGCCAACACCGCCCGTGTAATATTTATGTAAATCCCTACCACAGATTATATTCAATTATCGCCATTGAAGGTTCCGTTTTACGTACGGTTAAGTTTTCGGTATGTTCGGTAACATTTTGTTTTATATAAATTTATGTAAATCATTATATTTTGTACTCATTTCAATAGTTTTTTCATATGGTTGGGTTTGAAAGTAAGTCACCTGAATTTGAGGATTCTGTCACTGTGGGGGGGTTCAAGCGGTTTATCTGAAGCACTCTGCAGGAGCAGTATTGAGGTATTTTTAAGAAATGGAACGTACATTCAACTAAATTCTAACGTTTTTGACATTGCATCTGTCAAAGTCATCTCAAAATGCGTAAAAGGAATCGCTAGGCCTACGATTTTGTTGACAGTGATAGATAGACTTTACCTCATTTCGTTCTTCAGAGTTTACGTGAATGTGCTCCCTAACGTTTTTACCTGCCTTTACCTGTTTTTCGACGACTTTGAGACCCCTCTGGATCCTTTTTTAACAAATGGCGGTAGCTACAAATTATGTTTATAATTTAAGGTAATTATCAAAGTTAATATTTTGGTGTTTCATTGAGTGTAAGAGCAAACGAAGCGAGCTCGGGACTTAGGGCACCCCCACTCGGACAGATTAGGTTAGAAGGTGATGGCCGGGTCGAGTGAGTGACCGAGCGAATTGATCCCGCCATCCTCTTTGTGGTTAACCACTTAGAAGTAGGAGACCCGAACCGAAGCGGGGTTCACCGGGGTTCCCTCGACTATGCCACGTTGAGTAGCGTGCAGCTTCTATTCCCCAACTCTCACTCACCCTAAATCAGGTTTATATTGTCAAAAACATTACCTCGGAAGAAGATTTTTAAAAACAATATGGAAATCTTACTGAATCATTCCCCATATTTTTTCCTTTTCCCGCCAAGGGGTCTCCTTGGTTTTTTAGACTTAATAACTGAGGAAATAAATGAGGAAAATTTTCTCATAATTAAAAATGAAAAAGTCTAAAATAGGAGGACTCCGCATTTTTTCCTTTTAAGAGGCGTAGTACACCCCTCCCCACTCTCCTCCCACCCTAAATTCGACGGACGCCAATGGAAAGTCGTACCTTTTTTTAAAGGAGGAATAAGGGGGTGTCATTTTTTAATGTAATTGTTGACATTCGAGTTGTTACCTTGAGATTATTGGGGGTATGTTCCGAAATACAACCCAGTACACTGGCAAATGCAAATGACGTCATCAATTGACACTATATTGTACTGGCGTGCCGCCGCCATATTGCGTCGGATATCCGGCCACAATAAAAAACATTTTAATTGTGTGTGCGCTGAATGAAGCATGCCAGAATTTCTTTTTATTTATTCAAATACAAAAAATTATAGAATAATTGCTGGTATCTCCTTTAGGAAGATATAATGATTTTTGGAGCACAAAATGACAAAATAATCGCAAACACTTTTCCAATATAGCGTAAATGTATGACGTCATATACTGTCCTATGTTTTGGAACGAATCACCAGTATAGCGTCGATTCATGACGTCATTTGCATTGGACAGTACACTGGGTTCTATTTTGGAACATACCCTGGATCCGAAATAGAACCCAGTATACTGGCCAATGCACATGACGTCATAAATTGACGCCATCCTGGTGATTCTTTTCAAAACATTGGACTTCATACAACTGTAAAGAAAATAACAATTTTACATTCTTAAGTTGTGCATTCAATTCTTTTATGTAATATGTCTTATGCTCAAATACTCAAACGCTACTCAAATTTAAGATGCCATTATGTCTAGTGCTGTCTCTATAACTTTGTGTAAAAGTGATTGAGGCACCATGAGACATTGTCTCATCATCTTCAAATTGATTAACATTTGAGTATTTGATCTTTAGAAATTAACCTCTGAAAAATTGTCAGTCAACTTCAGTGAAGTAGCATCAGAACATTGACCTATCATAGTGCTCCATTTACCATGCATGTGCACTACAGGGAGTTCGTTTGGTATTGTTTGTGAATTGAATAACTTGCCATTTAAAATGCACTGAGAAGCACCTTATTATAGTGTTGCTCCAATACTTAAGTTATATTTGTGAATACAGGACTGCAATTTTTTAAATATAGTAGGGTCGTTGCTCTGGTTTCCGGCCTTTTAGTGGAGTTGTCAACTTCAAGGTACAATAAAAAATAATTGCCATTATGGTGACCTAGTGCTGTTAATGTTAATTTGTAACTTATATAATGTAGTTTTAATTTTTATAACTCATTGGTGCTACAAAACAAATACGTTTTTTATAATAATTTTAGACGTGAAAAATACGCAAAACGCTAGTTTTTGCCCAACTTTTAGAATTTTAGATTATATATACAGATAGAACAAATTTTAGATTTCGGCCTACAAGAATTTTAGTTTTCGGCCACTATATTAGAAGAGGTAGTACAAACTTAAAAGTGTTTTTGTAAAATCAGAAAATGGCAAAATGGTTTGGGAAATCGGTGCAATTAGTTTATTCAATCGGTGCTTGCGATTTTTTAACCATAACATATTTTATTTTATTTTTGGGAGTGGTTTTGATATAAAAAGATCATCATCATCATTTCAGAGATCTTGTTTGTTATCATCAGTGTTTATAGTGGTATCATTGTGGTCATTTGAGTCCTTATTGTCAGTACTGTTGTCGTTGGTAGGCTTATTTGAGTTTGGATTACAAGAACATCATATAACGATACAAAGGAACCAATATCCAAATACCTTCTTGACAAATTCAATGTTGAAATTTTGTGAGAATACTTTTATCTTGGTCTGTGTTGCACAGACTCTCTGGAGACTTTAATGGACTTCCGTTCTTATCGCCCAATTGAAAAATTAAGTGTTCGTTGGCCTGTCTGTGTGGAAAAATATTGGTCTGAGTAGAATTTTGTTTCAATTTCCTTATCTCATTCACTATAATAGCAACGTTTATGTTTTTTTCTGTCAAAGTTGATTTAAAATGTTTCTAAACTTTTCTTGTGGAAACTAGGTCTGCGTTAGTTATTTTTTTAGAAATATTTTTTTTTTTCAATTATCTTCGATTAATCTTTCTAGGGTTTTCTGGACTTATTTTGAGTAATCCACTGCATTGAGATCTATTTAATAAAGTCCGCATTTTCTGAAGCCATTTACTTATTATATTTCTTTGGAGGAGCTTTTTTTAACTAAAATAGCATTCTATTTTCCGCCGCCTTATTCATTCATATAATTTAAGGTTGGCCGAAAACTAAATAATTATTTTAGAGTCAATCCAGTTTTCAGCCACGACCGAAATGGGTATTTTTGTTTCATGACTAACTATTCAAATTGCAGTACTTGGTGGCCGAAAACTGAAAATTAGTGTCTACGCAAGCTACGATACAATATAAGTAAGAAAGATGAATTATAGGACGTAACCAAATAAATGAAAGAGACAAAGTATTTAGGCTAAACTCAGGCTACTTTTCGGCCGCATGGCCGACAACCAAATAATAGCACAATTTTATGTGTCACTTTTCGGCCACTTAATTTATTAACTTTATCAATAAAGTAAAGTATTAGGTTATTTTTACAATGAAATATAAGCACAATATTAAGTAATTATATTAAATACAGCACGAAACTAACTTTTGAATGGAACGCGCGCCACTATTTTTTTGCTCAGTCTTACAGGTTTTGACAGTTTCTGAGCCGACGTCGAACTAAACTATTTATCATAAAACGCGTTTTGTGTTTACCTGATTAATTAATGTTACCAGATATAGTGCAACTATTTACAAATGTATTAAACTTCATTTCGTACGATAATATTTATTAAAACCGTTATCAAACCAAATTTACTGCATCACCTCGTGCCAAATGCCGAAATCTAGACCCGGCCGGCTTACCGGCGCATCGACCCTATATAGTAATATAGTACCATGCTATGAATATAAAGTAATGAAGTACATATTTAAAAGAATATAGAAAATACCCCTTATTTAGATATTTCAGTTTGTTTTATTACTTAAGCGCTTCTTTACATATTGTTATTATGGTGCTATTTATCTCTTATTTTAAACTATATTTTACCTGCAACTTTGCCTGTGTGTAATTTAGAGTTTTCATTTCTTTGGACAGAACTCTATTTCTTCTTCTGAAATAAAAGTTGACTAAAATACTCCTTATATCATCAGCTGTCTGTAAAAGTCCCATTAAAAATAGGTCCAGCCATTTCGAAGATTAGCCGTAACACATACACAGACAGACAAAACTTTTAAAAACTGTTTGTTTGTTATAAGTATCACATACTCTTTCAAATGCATTTAGTAAAAACTTGTTATTTTGACATTACAAACAGACATTTCAATTTTGTTTATTTGTATAGATTTACTATAAAAAAAATTAAACATCTGTACAGACTCATTAGTATGGATAAAATGTTTAAATAACCCTACTTTTATTAAATATAGGTAATTACTTTGGAAGCCATTTTATCATGGGTGGAGAAAGATTTGACACACCTCAACCTGAGGCCTATTTATTTGGAGAAAATGCAGATCTGAATTTTCTTGGAAGCAGGCCGACTCCTGTAAGTAGTTTTTTATACAAGTAAAACTGATAAACAAGCACCCGTACCACCTGATGGTGAGTAATCCAGTGATCTATATACACCTACATAAATCCTTAGTTAAAAATGAAAATACTTAATAAGGGCTAAGAAAGAGAAAAGGGTCCCTGTTTCATGCCCCTTTCTAAACTAAACATAGTAATGCTCTTATTTTATGCAGTGTATTTTGTAAGAGGAAAGTCCTTTTCCAGTTAAGCTGACTATAACTATTATACAAAAGAAATAAAGAATGAGTCCACATAATATTGTTATTGGTTATCAAAGAAAAGTTATTAAAATCTAGGCTACATAATATGAAAAGAATTACGTATCCAGAACAATCATTAGATGGTGATTTATTTAACAATTTTTAATGTGGATACAATATTTAACATTATGCTTACTGTTAGTATTATTTATTTCATTCTTTTAGCAAATAATGTTTGCTATATCTGCTATTCAAATCCAGAACAAATAATAAAATAAACATAGTCTACACTGGTCCAGATAATTTTAATCATAATACAAACAGTGAACATATAACACCCAAAATGATAGTCTTTTTAATTAGCAATAATTATGTGAGTGTTTAAAATATTATTATATACATATTTCATTCATACTTAAATTATGGATTCATATCTTTACATTTATTATAAAATCATCTTTTCTAATCATTAAAATTTTCATCAGTTTCCATATCCTCCACCACAATCAAATGAGCCCACAAAAACCTTGAAAAGCTTAGTCAACATTAGAAAAGAGTCCTTGCGGTTTGTAAGATGTCCAGAGCCTGTGGGAAAACTGGTGGATAATAACAAAATTGGAGATGGAATGATAAAATCTGTTGACTCTAATGGCAAGGGAACCTATTACAACATAGAATTTACATTTGACTGTGATGCAAGAATTGCCATCACAATATTCTACTTCTGTACGGAAGAAGTGACTCCTGGTGGTGTGGTGTAAGTTGTTTAAACATAATTTTATTATCCAATATCCACTATCCCATGTAGTTCTGTGGGTGTTGTTAGAGGTGATATAAGGAAACCAAGCAGGAGATGGTCAGCAACATGTTCATAATAAGAACTAAAAAAAACTGTGACTGCCAGCCAACCTGTCATGAGTGGCAGCTGTGTGGCAAATATCCCTTATGTGGAAATCTATGGGGGAGGCCTTTGTTCAGCAGTGGACTTTTGAAAGGCTATAATGGTAACAGTAACAATAAACATATTTAACTACCTGAAAAAAATTGCATGTGTACACAAGGCAGAATTTTGGCCTTCCTTTCCAGCCTTTGATTTTATGGTATTTTGCTAATTAATATTAACAGGAAACTATATGTTCACTCTTCTTCTCACGACTTTTTAATAGCATAAGGCGGTATTCAAAAGACAATCTCAAGTCTAGACTCAAACTACACAATGCCAACTTTTGTGGAGTATAGTCGCTGACCCCTAGCATACTAGTATATGTAGAGGAGTATAATATAGACTAGACCAAAGATTTAAATAGTTAGATGCGCCTTCACCTTGAAAACTGTGGCATTATTTTTGGATGTGTTCGTTTACAAGACGCTGACGCGCGCAAACTAATGCAATAGTGTCATCTCTTATTATCTTACAGAAATTGTGTATACTACTTTCTCTGTCGCACAAATGAGCACTGATTGCGGATGAGTGAGCTCACTCATTTGAGAATGGACACATTTCAGAGTGGTCATACTATGGTAAGGGCGCATCTAACTATTGGATAAATCTTTGGACTAGACTCAAGTTTTTGACATTGTGAAGTTTGACTTGAAACTTGAGATTGTCTGTTAATTCTGGCCTTAGTTTGAAAAACAGACTCAATAATTATTATACCTCCTATTTTATTACAGCTATTATCCCAGAGATCCCACAATAAGTTCACAGACATATCATTATAAAAAAGGTGCCAATCAGCAATTCTGTCAGATCTCACATGTTTTTGATCCTTCGAAATACCCTGAGGAGGATTTGGTGTATAATGCTGAGCGTGAAATAATTCCTGTTGCCATTTATTGTGTTGTGGATGAAGGACAGGAAGGTTAGAATTTGTCAATAGCTATTTTTATATAAATTGCATTCTAGACTAATAAATATTTTTTATCATTTTGAAGTTGTAGTACATAGTATTTAAAAAAAACGTCACATTTTCTTGTAATGTTTCACCATCGGGGCTGCTAGAGTAAATATTTAACCTACTAAAACTAATATAAATATAACATAAGAATGGTGTATTGTAAAGAAGTTTAACTTTGTAAATGTGTTTTTTTAATTATAGAAATAAGACAATCGCACACAACTATAGCTGTGGTAGAGAAACACTCAGATGGGACTTATGTATTAAAGGCTCTGAAGCAAAAATTGTTTGTTGATGGTTTATGTTACTTACTGCAGGAAATATATGGCATAGAGAATAAGAATTTGGACACAAAGGTATGCTACGGCCGATGCTGTGAATACAGTATTTTAATTAGCATTGTAATCCAAATTTTGTATTTACAGCCAAGTTCAGATGAAGAGACTGAAGATGGTGGTTCGGAATGCGTGATCTGTATGTGCGATGTACGAGACACACTCATACTGCCTTGCAGGCATCTGTGTTTGTGTAACTCCTGTGCTGACTCCTTGCGGTACCAGGCTAATAATTGTCCCATCTGCCGTGCACCTTTCCGGGCCTTGCTACAAATTAGAGCATTGCAGCGTTTGACTACACCAGCCTTAATGCCCCCTGCCGCCAATCCACCAGATGTGAGAAGAATCATTTTTATTTTTAATATTTAAGTTTTTTAATCAATAATTTTTCTTTTAAGGATTTTGTTGCACTTTATTCTATGTTATATTCGTTTCTGAAATAAATTATTTTTAGCTGTAATTTTCACACATTATTTTTACTGTAATTTCCGCAGGGAAGCATGGAAAACATTCCAGCGGGTTACGAGCCGGTGTCGCTGCTGGAAGCGCTCAATGGCCCCACGGCCCGCGCGCGACCTCCACCTGCGCCTGCGCCCACTATCGCCAGCCCAGACACCGACACCGCCTCGCAGGTGCGTAGTATCACGTGTGTACAAGCCTTTAATGTTCATTCAGGCATCCACAACTTTTTCTGCCACCATGTTGGTGCCACTCTGGACAGAGGTGAATTATTCGGCAGATTACCTGTTAGGGAAGTTAATTTGTTAGACAAGTGTAGAGATAATGTTTTTTTTTTAAATATTAGTTATATTTTATATATTAATTAGATTAGAAATGGATACGGAATAATGGAAACGGATATTAATTAAAGTAAAAGAATTATTAAAAAGGTAAAACTGTATAATAATAGAGCGTATTGTTTTGTGTACATACTGTATATACATACACTAGAAACCGAGAAAGCTTTATATAAAACGCAACTTTTGAATGATGATGACACTGTGTGATTATCCGCATAATAAATAGTTCACCGTAGTCCCCACTAGCGACATCTGGCGAGCGTCAGATTATTAGCCCACATTAGATACTATGTTTTAACACAAGCAATGTAAAAAATATAATTTTCTTGTCGGGCAAATCTGAAATAGTGAAGTTTCGATACAGGCGGCAGAGATGTTGAATCGGTGCAACGTGGAGCGCAGTTCGTCGACGAGCCTGGGCAGCGGCGGCAGCCGCAAGGCGCGCCGTGGCTCCAAAGACGCACGCGCGCCGCTCCAGCCGCACCCGCCGCATCCGCCACTCACGCCAGAGGTACCAATAATTTTTTCAATCAATTATTCATTTTTTTATTTGCGAATAATATTATATGTTAAGTTCTTCTGTATTTTGCCTCATAGGGCATGCAAGATAATATACATAAAATAAAAAAAAAATTGTACATATAAAATCAAAATGCCATAATTCATAATATAACATTACCTACATTAGATCACATCACGCTACCGCAGTCTAAAGACCACAGTTGTGAAACGCCAATGATCTGAGGCGATGCCGCTGCTCGCGTAGGTATTGCGGTGGCTGGGGTTGTCACAACAAAAATGAGAATAAAATATTTTTTGATATTATAATACTCATTATCATTTATTAACATTATGTACATACTTATAAGTTAAAAACATTTATTGAACAAGATCATTTTTTATTACTACCAGAAAAATACATTTAAAAGTGTTGCACTGCCAAATATTTTCGTCACACTTTTTTTTTATAGATGTTTTAAATTGTTAAACTAAATTATGTAGTGTATTCGCATTAGGATAAACAATTTTATAAAAACATGAGGGAAACATAAGCATGGCCGTCATTTGAATTCAACTTTACTTAGTAACTCATACAACTATAACAGTAATTCACCATTATACTGAGTGATTTTTTTAGTAGTCTGGAAAATAATATGGTGCTTTGTGCCTTTGGTCTTCACGAATGTACGCCGCAGTATTAGTTGTGTATTATCCTCGAAATTATTTGTAAAATATAACTATTATATTTTACAAATAATTTCGAGATAGACAAAATTTCTGAATATCCAACAAAATACATAAAAACAATAATTTATTCTACGACATTTACGTAAAGCTAAAAATAAACGATGTTATTTTAAACGGCGTAGGCTACGATCGCTGTTGAATGAAAGTTGTAAGCGCGAGCGAGACGCATGCTTTTTTAGGCATTTCTTTCATTAGGAATTCATTGTCGCCATACAACTCGGCCGCGGTCGGTTGGGGCATGTGCAACTCAAAAAATAAAAAAGAAGTAAAGAAGCGAATAATAAACATATAATATAAAGATTCAATTATTTTAATATTGTTACCGATTATTCGCATTAGCATGAATTCGAATCATCCAAACAGGTAATGTGCATAACGACATGTCATTGAAACAATGTCAAGCGTAAAAGTTGATTCTGGTTATTTTTTATATTTTGCTTTATTTGAAAGATAAATTAGTGATAAAGAACTATCTATATGGTAATGAAATATAGATAATTTCATTATTCTTTTAATTTACGTATAATGTTATGTAAGGTAGGCAAGGCATTTCTTAGATTTGGTTAAGCATAATCATTTATAAGTTAACAAAATGGATAGGACATAATTACTTTTGTTCTTCATCGTCTACTTTATCAGTTCATAATAGTTCTGTTAGACATGAACCTTAATGTAATCATTTATTAATTTGCTTTGGTGTGATTGTTACATTGTTACAGTTCCGTATGTCCGTGTTACTGGCACGAGAAGAGGAAGCAAAGCGCATTGAAGAAAAGGCAGCTGCAAGCAGTCCCCTGCTTTACAATCACAATGGCATTAGTTCCTCCGAAAAACTTTCTAAGGTAAGTCTCTAAAATAAATATAATGACATATCTCATACTTAGTAAACTCTACTCTACTTAGAACGAATAAAAGGAACAATAGTACGTTATGGTGGGATGATGAGTTACGTATGGAAGTTGAAGCAAAAAAGAAAGCATGGCTAGATTTACTAGCAACCAAGGCTGGTATTTCTGTCGGCACGAATGATGATATTGAAAGAAAAAAGACAGTCTTTAGACTTCTAAATAAGACAGTAAAAGAAGTAGTTGAAAGAAAAAAGCAAGAAAGAAAGGGTAATAATGATAGAAGAATATGAAATGATAGAAGAATATGAATTCAGGTTTGCACACAATGTCTCCTTCACAGCCGAGCACACGGAAAATCATCAATTAAATACCCAATGGTAAAGATGAGCAAGAGTAGAGCAAGAGTTGCTCGCATACAGTAAAATTAACAGTGAGTGTTTCATGTATAATTGCCTTTGACCACCATCTCAGTTACTGCGGCCAGTCTCGACGTAGACTTGCGCAAGATATGATTATAGTGCCCGAGTGTATCTGCAAGCACAGGTGCACTCTCTATTCTCTCATTCTCACAGTTCGATGGAACGATAATCCAACACGACCTGAGACAGATAAGCCAGTGACTTTACGTGATTTCCGAAGCACGTGGGTAAAACACCGCCAACTTCCTGATTCCAAGCTGCTACTGAGAATTTCTTACGGAAAAATCTTATTGGTGTTGGCCTGACCAGGGAAAACTCGTAAGAACTGCCAGGGGGACATTTATAACAGCCTAGAATGAATGCTATATGAGACAAGAATGGCTGTACTCTAAATGATGAAGTTTTGAGTTTAAAGAGATGTAAGGAATATTTTGAAAGCGTATTTATGAGTGAGAAAATGTGTGAACTCAATGGAATAGAAATTTCGAAAGAAGAAGAAAGATATAGGAAGATAAGTATGGATGAAATAATGAAAGCAAGGAAAAGCATTAAAGAAGAAAGGCAGCTGGATATGGTAGAGTATCACTCGAAATGTTAAAGGCTGGAGAGGAAGTGGTGGCAAACCTGCTGTACACCTTGTTTAATATATCTTGGGAACTGAAGCGGGTACCGGGAGACTGGTGCAAAGCCGTAATAGTCTGATGCCGCCGAAATAGAGAAGTTTTTAGCCAAATACCAAAAAGTTTTTTGTGTGTTCATGGACTTGGAAAAGGCTTATGACAGAGTGGACAGGGATGTGATATGACAAACACTGAACTAATTTGGGTTAAGCGCTGGCTTGATACAAGCATTAGCCTCTTTATAGGTGCTCTAGTGCTTGTGTTAGGATAAACGAGGTCTACTCGGACTGATTTGGCATCCATAAAGGTGTCAAACAGGGCTGTGTGGCTTCCCCGTGACTCAACCGACTTCAACCCATTTATGGACAGTTGTTTCGAAAATTTGAAAGTTGAACAATGCCGGTTAAGAATTAAGAGTTAACTGTCTAATGCCTTATGTACGCCGACGATCAGGTCATATTTGCTTCGTCGACGGCCGAGTTGCAATTGATGGTTACATTAATGAACAAGTCACTAAAAGAAAGGGGAATGAAAGTGAACGCAAGTAAGACGAAAGTTATGGTTTTTGAAAGAGAAGAAAGTAAAACAATAATGATTTCTTATATTTACGCGAACATTGCACATGATTAAAACTACTTTTACGGATTTTATCGCGTTTATTTTTACTTTTTATTTTTAATTCCCGACGTTTCGGGCGCTTTCCAGCACCCATGGTCACGGGGGACTGAGATGACTGACGTCCCGATGTCATTGTTAAACCCGGAGTACCTTCAGCTTTTTTAATTATTGTTTATGGTCCGATCTATGCAAAATGAACTGACTATGTCCTGAGGTCTTGCAGTGGTATGCTTGGGTTTAGTTTTAATTTTATTGATTATAGGATCCCAAGCAGGTGGTAGTACCCAGCCTCCTTCTCTATTGAAATTAGGATGTTTTTTAATTTCAATAGCCTCACGTATCATCCTTGGTAGGAATCGGTGTTCTTTCGCGAGGATTTGTGGTCTATCAAATCTGATGTAATGGTTGGGGCCGTCTAGGATATGATCACAAACTGCAGACTTCCCGGAACGTTGATGCTTCACATCAGCTATATGTTCTTTTATGCGGGTCCTAATTGATCTTTTGGTTTGTCCTATATAAGAGAGACCACATTCACAATCAAGCTTGTACACTCCTGCATCTTGTAGAGGAATATGACACTTGACGAATGGTAGGAACTGACTAATCTTCTTCGGCGGCTTGTAGAATGTTCTAATAGAAGCTCGCTTCAAGATATAGCCAATCTTGTCTGTGACACCTCTGGCATATGGTAGTACAGCAGGCACACGCTCGACTGTGGCCGGCTTCACTCGGTCACTGTGACGTAGGCGCGGGACCCGAAGCTTGTTGTCGTGCAGAACTTGCTTGACGTGCTGAAGCTCGGCGGCCAGGTGTTTGCTGTCACAGATCCCTCGTGCTCTCTGTAACAAAGATTTGCCCACGGTAGCTAACTGTGAAGGATGGTGGTGAGATTCACCGTTTAAATATCGGTTTGTATGGGTCTTTTTCCTATACACAGTGTGACCAATGGTGTTATTAGGATTTCGGATGACTAACACATCTAGGAAAGGTAAGGAATTATTTGCCTCTAACTCCATAGTAAATTGAATTAAAAATGGAAAAATATATATAGAGGTACTGGGCTCAGGCGAACCCACCCCTCATATCGCCTCAAATCGCAACCACCAGCCCGATATCTTCGACATAATGTTGTGCCACCAAATGCCGTAACGAATACGGCTAGAGGTGTATGATCTGGACACGCAGCACCTCCCCGTGTTGTCCACCGTAGATACCAGTGCGGACGCCGTAGTGCCCAAAAGCCCGAAAATACGGACAAACTAAACACGCTTCCGCAGAGCGCTGGAGGACCCCCGTCTCGGCGCATCCATCACCACCCAAGGTGTGGAGGATGGAGAAGGATGTAGAGACAGCGACACTACATCTCCATATTAAACTTCAAAACCAACTTGGACTCTTCTCAAACGCTCACCCTGTCTCCACGGGGCGCCGTGGGAAGGAACTTCCTCGAAATCTACAACAGCAGCTATCCGAGAAGCGGAAGCTAAGAAAGCTCTGGGCATGGACACGGTGCCCGATAATCAAAAAAAAAACTGAAGAAAATGACCGAAGAACTGACGGTGGCGATAAGAGCGCACAGGGGAGAGGCATGGGAGAGACGAGTCGATGAAGCCTCGGATATACCCGCCTCCCTGCATCTTCTTAACCGGCAGCTCACGAAAACTCCATCACCTGTTTGCCCACTTGTGGACAACACGGGAAAAAGGATCTAAAACGCCCGAAAGACGGTGGAAATGATGGCACACCACCTAGAAACACAGTTTAAACCTAATACAGTAACAGAGGGGTACTCAGAGCATGCAGAGAGCATAGCAAACCGCGTACGTGAATACCTGTAGAATCCAGCGCCGCCACTGCTGGCGGCGATTTCATCTCTCCAGTACAGTTAAGGGGAACCACCATACGCCTACTCAACTGCAAAGCGCCGGGATGCGACGGTATTACTACCATGGCTATAAAGCAGCTGCCCAGAAGGGGGATTGTGGAACTCACCAGGCTATATAACGGCATATTAAGAACTGGCTACTTCTCGACCATCTGGAAGCAGGGAAAGATTGTCGTGCTACCAAAACCAGGTAAGGACAGGAGGCACCCGGCTAGCTACCGCCCCATAATGCTATTACCGCACATAGCAAAAATTTTTGAAAAAATTCACCTTAAACAGATGACTGCCGCACGTTGCTCTGCGAGAGGAGCAGATTGGCTTTCGCAGAGCAAACCACGAGTATAACCGCGGCCGCATCTGTGTGGGTCTTCCTCGATATGGAGAAGGCTTCAACGTAGTGTGCCACGCAGGGCTAGTGTGCAAACTTATAGAACATACCACTTTGCCGCCTATGCTTGTGCGGCTAATAGCGTCGTTCCTGGAGGGGCGAAATGGGAGTGCCACAGGGCAGCTGCCTATCACTCCACCTGTACGAGGTTTACACAAACGACATCCCCAGTCCCCACACTCCAAGGCCACGTATCACGTCATCTCGCTGGGTAGAGATCGCGTCAAGGAAGTTGCAGCGACTGCTGAACTTGTTACCCGAGTGGCTGGACAGATGGAGGATGGTGGTCAACTTCGGGAAGACCGCCGCCTTCATGACCAGGCTGACACGCATTCCACCAACTCTGCGACTCCGTAGGCACTACGTAGATTGGAAAAGAACTGTCACATACCTAGGACGCTGGATAGATCGCTCGCTGCGCATAACCCCGATGGTCGACCACGTCGGGGATCAGGCCAGAGTCGAGCGAGCGAAACTTTACCCTATACTGGCATCCAAACTCCCCTTAAAAACCAAAATCTCCACCATCTACAAGAACTACGTCCGCTCACGGCTGACATAAGCAGCGGCAGCCTGATACGCGCTGACATTGGCCACTCACCGCAAGTGGTTGCAAGCCCAGCAGAATCTTCGAGTGATCGTGGGAGCTGGCCGCTACGTCAGAAACGACATGATAGCCAGAGACCTCAAGATCGAGTCGATACATGAATTTGCGCCCCGTACTGCGAGACGGTTGTTCGACCACGCAGATAATTTCTTCATTTCACAAAAATAGACCTCAATTGTTTTTAATTAAATATGGCTTTTATCTCTTCTGGGATCCCTCTCTATTTATTCATATAGTTGTAATACAATCAGTTCGGATATTCCGAAGATTAGTCCGGATAGCCAGGTAAACAAAAATGGTTATTCATGTCTTAAAGTTAAAGCCTATACATCTCACATTGTAGGGCACAGGTCTTCTTTAATTTTTAAGAGGGTTTTAGGGCAAGGAAATGTCTGTAGTACTGCTCCAATGCGTGTTGGTGAATTTTACGTCTTTGAAGTATTTTTTTTATTTCTCAGACTGCCAGTTTCCTCACGAATTACTTAAATTTGAAATTTACATCGAGTGCTTAGCCCTTGTGCTACCACGGCCACACTTGCATAAAAGGCAGTTATTTTTCTTTGTATACATACATTTATTTTATTTATCTTAAAATATATAAATTACGTGTCACGTTGTGTGTCCGCGATGGACTCCTAAACTACTTAACCGATTGAAATAATACAAGTTACGTCGACGACGAAACGTCGGGTATTTATAGTTAAATGTACGCGATAAAATCCGTAAAAACTTGTATTATTTCAATGTGTAGTGTTCGCGTAAATATAAGAAATCATTACTTAACCGATTTTAATCAGATTTGCACACAGTGTATATTTTTTTATGCGAAGACAAGGATTTTTAATAGGACATGACAAATTGTCGTCGAAAAGGGCAGAACAACGTCTGCCTAGCAAGCGATCATGTATCTCCATCTCTGCTTACAAGTTTCTGTGCCAGTTACTTTGAAAATATTAGTTTAAATGATTCGTTTCGCTGTGTCCAGAGCTCGTTGAACTCGCGGCCGACATCAGAGGCGGGGTCTCGTGCGGGCTCCCGTGCGGAGTCGCGTGCGGGGTCGCGCGCGGGATCGCGGGCGGGCAGCGCGTCGGACGAGGAAGCGGCGGCGGCCGCTGAGCCCGACAGCGACGCCGAGCGCCGTTCGCCGCTGCTGGCGCCGCAGCTCCCGCAGCACCCGCACCACACACCCGCCGCACACGCGCCCGCACCCAACGGGGTACGTTCGCACTCGCTGCTTTTTTTCCACAATTACGATCAACGAGGCGGCACCGCGCTGGCGCAATCGCAACGTCCAACCGCACCCGCTTCCACACCCAACGGATTAGATACACACTCGCTGCAGTTTTGACGTGATTTCTTCCAAATTTACTTAAATTTATTAAAAAAATTGTAAATGTTTCCTCCTGATAATTATTAATAACTTTTGGTAAATCCAAATGTGCATGCCTTAAGCGTTCATGTTATACGTCAATTTTAAATTATTTAAAATACACAAAAGTTTTCACTAATAACCTTATTACTATACTTCTATTTTTTATGTCACACGTCAATAAAAAAGTTTGGAAAATCCAAAAGTGTACGACTGAAATATACAAAATTTGTAATACGCCAAGTTCAAAAATTTTATTGAACTAAGTTTGTATAAAAAGGGTTATTATAATATTAAGGAATTTATGGATGATAATAACCCCTGTGTTGTTAATTGTAAACATGATTGCCGGAGGTTTTTTTGCGAATAAGTGATAAATGAAAAAATTGACTTTCAATAAGTATTGTTTATAATCTATATTGAATAAAAAGTTTCTGTTCTGTTCTGTACTTATAACGCTTATATGATCGTAAACAAATTCAGAAAAAAAATCTCATTCAACAATAGAAAATACTTTATTTAATTTACTATGTTATTATTATTAATTTTTATTATTATCATTATGAATTAAAAAAAAAAACTTTTAACAGAATTATCATAAAACGATCAGAAAGCAACGTTAATATTACTTTAATTTTTACGCATTTGCACTCAGGCATTATCGTAAAAACTAGTCTTTTTGTTTCCAAAACTATTTGGTTTCCAAATGTTTATCATCTAGTCATAACCAGTATTTTAATTAAGCCTTCACCAAAGTTCACCTTCAGGTTACTATGAAGTCCTGAGGTAAGATCTCATCATAACTAATAAAACGAAATCAAACTCTGCACACCTAGTTCTACTTTTCGAGGAGTTCCAGTAGCAGAGACCGAAGTAATTCTTTAGATCACTCCATAAAGTTCAAGACGTTCAAGTATATTTATATATAAATCCTTCGCACTTTTAGCGTAACAATATATTGTAATGAAAATCTATGATAATAAAAATAATAATAATATCTTACCTTGGTCAAGTATGCATCAAATTTGGTTTTAGGAATATTTTGTTTTTCTACAGCGATCGATATTTTTCATCACGAGCCGCTGTAAACAAACGATACAGCAACCCACTCATGACGGCGGCTAAACCCGGAGTGAGTCCCGCCGGGCAAAGTGTACACTATGTACATTTTGCCCAGCGGAAGATCTCCCCTTTTAATAGGGGAGCCCGAGAGGCTAAATTGGGAGTTACTCGAGCGTCGGGGACCTTTTGGATTGTGAAGCTTAGATGCTAAAAACAAAAAAGGTTATATGATGTATGTCTTTTCAATGGTGGGATAAGCGGCTATAGATTTTCAAAAATGTAAAAAAACAATCACAAAAAATACTCGAGCGCGATAGATATTTACAGTGTATACGTCCCAGGTATTTTTGAGAACGGATATTAATCTGACAGATTGAATGGTGTGAGTGGCCGTGCGAAGGTGTTGAAAATGGGATTAAAAAAAGTATTCGAGCGCGTCAGATATTCCGAAAATATATTAAGTACACCCTAAAGAAGCTACTATTCAAAAGACTGACGATTTGGACGCGACCAAAACTCTTGACAAATTTATGAAAATGCAAAAAAAAATCGTGACCTTGAAATTATCGAGCGCGTCAGATTAATAAACGGACAGTTCAGCATGGTGTCCTTGTCGTGCTGACCCGTAACACTCGTGCTGACAATTATGTGGAGGAATTTCCTTAATCTGAAGGGTTTAAAAAGCTTTACAATAAAATGAAAATAACTAGAAAATTCAAAATTCAGCGGAATTTCAAAAAACATTATTTATGATAATTTGTCAGAAATAAAATTACCTACAAAAAAGTTCCTATGTCATTTTGTGATAAGTCTGATAGTTTCGTCGGAACAGAAAAGACATCTCAAAATTTACTATAAATTTGACTTCAAGCTCAAATAACTTTTGAACAATGGATTTATCAAAAAATGTCAAAAGACATTTTTGTAGAGCGTTTGATTTCCTACTAAAATTTATCGCACATAAAAGGTTTGTGAGGTAGAATATTCTAAAAAAAAAAATCCTGTTATTTAAACTGTGTAATTTATTAAAAAAAAATTTAAAAGTCGATTTTTTTGAATCGGTCTAATATTATATGAAGAGAAAAACGTTTAAAATACATTTTTAATCTTCATCGTCACTTAAATCATCGTCGAGAGATAGAGAAAGAGTGAGAAAGGAAGAGAGGCGCGAAGTGGGAAATACATAGTTCTCAGCAGCTGCACGCTCCATACTATATTGAGGATTTTAACTGCTTCCACTTGTGGAAATCGGCAAATTATATTATTTTCGTGATCCTTAAATGATTCCCTTGAAAATAAAAATAAAATTAACTGCGCTCGAGTAAATCAATATGACGTTTTTTTTCACAACTTTGTGACTCCTATTTCCTTAGGTCAAGTGTAAATCGTCAGATTATTGAAATACACACTTTTCTGCATGTAATTAACTCGCCTTAATCTGACGCGCTCGAGTTTTTCGACCTTTCGATTTTTTTTTACTATTCTGATCGGCTGCCCTAAGCGCACGTCCCTATATAAAGAGCTCACATTAGTTGGCGGTACTTAATAGGGTGCAAGGTTTCCCCCCTCATGTTATTCTGCCGCGCTCGAATAAATCCTGGAATCCCCGCTTGAGCTCCCCTACTATTTTCCTTCCACCGCCAAATTTGTTTGTCACCCTTATTCATTAAAAAGATGTTAAGATTGAAAGTGGACTTGATCTTGATTGGTGTCACCGTCCTACCTTTCTCAATGCACCTACAGTGTTAAGGTCGCAAAGTGACATTAACTGTATATTGTGCATTTTAGTTTTGATTGAACTTACATACCATAAACACACGTAGTTTCTTTTCTGCTTCATACGAATGTAGACTTTACCTTCTTAAACACACAGTTTTGATTTTAATGTACGTTTAAGTCATTGTACCAATTATACTTTCATAGGTGCTGAAGAATAGTGGAGCAGCACTGCGGCTGGCGGCGCCCGCGCTCGCGCACATCGACGACACGGACACCGACGAGCCCGACGCCGCGCACAACTGTCAGTAAACCTATTTAACCGTTCGTGTCTTTTGATCGAGCCGGTCGCAGCTGTCCCGTCGCATGTTCTGTACGATATGCATTGGCGGCGGAAAAGTTAGGGCCTTAATGGTCATGATGACCCACATACGCTATTATAGTTCAGTATAAAGTAGAAAAAGTACAAAAGCTAAAACAAAAAACAGAGGTATATTAATTTATTTATATTGGAAATGTGAAATGAACAACAAACATTTTGTAATACCGCGTTTTTTTGCACAAATTATACAGAAAAACTACTATTTCACAAGTTAAAAATTTAGATTTAGGAACTTACACTTAAATGTCATTATCTTAGTAATTTCTTAATCCTCTCGTAAATCGGTGAGGCCCTCGTCCAATTGTGGACGGGACGTAAGAATTGGATTGAAAATATTATAGGCCCATTTTATTACAAATAATGATGTTATATTATGACAAATACTTGTGTGTTATGTTAAACAATGTGATGTTAATTATGTTATTACAAATGCAGATGAAACAGTTGAACAGTTTAGACTCGTGCCCAAAGTGCTTTCCGCCGTCAAAGCTGTTACGTCGCATGTCGCATAAATACATTATCGAGATCGGCTTTTCTAACAGGTTACAATCAGAGCGACTTAATTTTTGTTGGCGTTTGAAATCTTATTTCTGGTCTTTTGTCATACAAAAAATGAAAAATACGCCACCGCTGCATTCATTATTCAAATTTGCTTATTCGAACTTAATTGCCATATTTAATTATTTTATGTCCACAAAGTGATTTTTTTTAATAAGAAAATAATAAAAAACAACGAAAACAATTATCTCCATATATAAAAATCAATTGACGTCCGCTAGTTTCGCTAAAGCTCAAAAACGGCTCAACTAATTTTGATGATTTTTTGTGCGTGTATGAATGGGTCCCTAGATAGTTTAGATTTACATTTGAACCTTTGGTAGGTGGCGCTCTTTTCAAGATCCAGAAATCACCCGTGCGAAACCGGGGCGGATCGTTAGTTAAAATACAAAACCTATTTGAACTATCACATAAAATTAAAACTAAAGCTATTATTGCACAAGATATTGAAGACTATAACGGGTGTTTTTGAAACGCTCCCGAAAACAAAGACAGACGTTAGTGTTAAGGATACATTTGATGATAAGACAAAAAGAAAATCGATCCCTATGAAAATATATTTTTACAACGTTTAAATAGCTTCATTTACGCTCTACAATGTTGGAACAGCTAAATGAAACTATAATTTAGTAAAAAAATCATGAGAATACTTAAACATAAAATCAGCAGTGAAATTTAAATACCTAAAATCTAGCTGACAAGGGTTATTGTACGCGCAACGCCGAATCCGCTCGTCACGCAGCTACATAGAGTAGATAATCGGAATTATATACTCATGTGCCCCGCCCGCGATTGTACCAATACCTAATAATTACCAATAAAAACCAACACTTGTCTATATACCTAACTTATCTACTTAATCTACTATTTTGCTACTGTGCTAGTCTCCACCTTACCACTTTCATTCGAATTCACCGGTTAAATAAAGCAAATAGCTGGTTCGACCTGAATCCGCTTATGAAAAATTTACTTAAATTATCTATCGTGTAGGTATGTTTATTATTCTGATATATTCAGTTATGTACCTATTTAGATCAGATCAGTACTAAGTTATTTAAAAAATTAGGTATGAAACAGCTTACCGAATTAAATCCTTAAATAAACCTGTCCATACGTTAACCGACCATTGGGTTTATTGCTCGTTTTGTCGTTCAGTGTGTGTGTTAACCTTGGAATACACGTGGTGTATTTCTTCGGTTCCACTGGCCGTTTCTGGTAAATGTCAACTCCGTCCGTCCAGATGACGTGCTCAATGAAACCAAGCACACGTTGTTGCTGGTCTAATAACCAACGGCGGAATTCTTGCCGGCAGTCGTGATCGCCGGGAACTAAAGCTCGCACTTTGTATACTTTGTATTGGCGCATTCGGTTACAATTTAACACCTTGTAAATTGTCTAGTATGACAAACTTGTTCCATCCCGATGCCTTAACAATTTAGCGGTACTTTATAAAATTGTGAATTCATAATGCACGCGAAGCATTTTCCCGAGCTTTTCCAAGCCATATTAACATGTCGCCGTATTCACGTGCACTGAACGTACGCGTTAGGCATTATTAAAACAAAACAAGAAATACAAAACTTTATAAAAATGTCATACACAAAACGTTGTATCTGTCGCTCACGCGCACGTCAATACGGAACTGTCTCAAAAACTAAAATTAATAATAAATCCCGCCTGGTTTTTCCCACCGCTACTTTCGTGTGTCGTCCTTGCGGTTAGCACTTTGACCTTTCCACAGATCATTAAACCGTTACGACATTCCCAACTTTAATTTTATAAGTTTAGTTATACCTACGATTAGTCTTCATAATATGGAATTTAGAAGTTATAGTTATCTTTTTTAATTTAATTAGACAATGAATTGTACGCAACAAGCAGTTCGTTACTACAAAAATGATATTGACTTTAATAAACGTACCTAATTGGGCACTCACACAATTATAAACAAACTCGTCGTTATCTTTGATTTTGTACAAGAAAACAGAAACGAAATGGTACTGAATAATTTAATAGTTAAAATCAATTGCAATTATGATCGATAGTTAACTAATCTAAATCTAAAAAATAATTCTTTTACATCATTTTAATTGACTGTCCTTTTTTAATTCGGCCAATACTTTGAATTTAAAAAGAGCTAAGTCAAAACTATTAAAATTAATTCCAAGTTTTATTGTGATTGCCGCCTCTAATTCTTTCTCTTTAGTAAGTAAATTTCGGTTTGGCAACGCCGCAACATGTGTGTGAAAGGGAAGGGTAGAGTGACCGTAAATACAGTAATACCTAATGTATTGTTTCGTACTGAGCTCGATAAAAAGAGTTCAGCTTGCGCGCGTGTTTTTGACTCTTTATCGGCTGATTTCAAATATTTAAGTTTCACTGCTTGTTTTATGTTTAGGTATTTTCGTGATTTTTTTAAATGAAATAGCTGTACTAACATTATACAGGGTGAATAAAGCTAATTAAACGTTTTAACAAAATGATTTTTTTCATCGGGGTCAATTTTGTTTTTATCCCATCATCAGAGGTATCCTTAATACTAATTACTGTCTTCGTTTTCGGGAGCGTTTCGGGAGCACAAATACCCTGATGAGATATCCCCCATGACCAAACGACACAACCAGACGATATTCGTTGAAGGTCATACAGGTTTGCGCACCAACCTCGGCACATCCCGTTAAGGAGGTAGAGGAAATGTATAAGGGTATCTCTAAAGCCATGTAATCCACCAAAACCCACTATACGGGTTTTGTTTTGAAATCTCCCATTAACAAATGGGAGATTTCAATGCAAAACTAGGCGTAAGAGAAAACGGTGATCTGAAGGTAGGGAAATTCGAAATAGGGCAACGGAACCCAAGGGGGCAGCAGCTGACCAACTTCATAGAGAAAGAGGGACTCTCATGATGAACTCTTTCTTCCAGAAGCGACCCCACAGTAAGTGGACCTGGTTGAGTCCCGCCGATACGACAAAAAATTAGATTGACTTCATTATGACGACTAGACGGCAGTTGTTCAGTGATGTCTCAGTGATCACGAGGGAAAAAACTGGTAGCGATCACCGAATGGTTAGAAGCACACTCAACCTTAACATTAAATTGGAGAGGTCTCGTATAATAAAGTTAACGCTCCGTCCACTTCGTGCTCTGATTCAGAGTCCCGAAACTTTTCAGCTCGAGTTACAAAACCGTTTCCAGTGCCTAGAGGATTGCAATGCAGTTAACGATATGAATGATAAGCTCGTGGAAACTGTCCATGCGGTCAGAGCTAAGTTCCATAAGACCCGTCGCAAAAGAACACAAAGACTCTCCGATCACACTCTTAATGTCATGGCTGTTAGATGGGAATTGAAGCTGCAGTCTTCAGCAGATTTGACAGCATATAGGCACCTGAACACATTTTGACAGATCTCCAAATGCATGCGGTGGGACGTAAGCAACTTCAATACAGCTCGTATTGAAGAAGCGATAGAATGGAACTAGGGCTCCAAAGTCTTTGCCAGAGATCTGTCTGCTAGAAATAATCAACTGTCGATGCTGAAGACCGAGTGTGACAGCATCGTTTCCGATACATCTTAGTTTTCTAGTGAGATTGAGAGGTTCTATGGGCAGCTGTACACGTCATCGTTGGAACCTCACACAAGTGTGAGTACCGATCCAAGAGCAAGTCTTATCCGTCACTATTCCGATGCTGTCCCGGACGTCAGTCTGAACGAGATTAGAGTGGGTCTCCACCACCAAAAAACGGCAAGATCCCTGGCGAAAATGGAATTACAGAGGAGCTTCTGAAAGCGGGTGGAGCAGAAGTACGGTGGTCTTGTTCTTCAAGAAAGGCGACTACGCTCTCTTGAAAAACTGCACCAGATTTCTCTTCTGAACTGCTTCTACGTGCTGTTTTCAAGTCATTATGAATCGTCTCGGACGCAGCTTCGACGACTTCCAGCCTCCCGAACAAGTCGGTCACCGGAAAGGCTTTAGTACCATAGGCCATATACTAGTACCATAAACCAAATACATACCCTTCGGCAAATTGTACAGAAGATCGAAGAGTACAATCTGCCACATTGCCTTGCGTATGTGGAGTATGAGTCTTTATAATGCCCTTATACGAGGGTGACACTGAAATTTCTTAGAAAATCAAAAACTGAATAAACTAGCAAGTTATTAGTTTTATTATATCTTTTCAAAATAGTGTCCATTTACATCAATACATCGCTGCGTCCGATGGAACCACTGAGAAAAGCACTTTGCCCACTCGTCCTTAGAAGAGAAGAGACCCCCTCTTCGACGGCCTTTTAAAACACAGCCACCGCTTCCTCGTCGTCGATAAAACGTTTTCCTCGAAGTTTTTATTTTATTTTCGGAAATAAATAAAAATCGCAAGGTGCGAGGTCGTGACTATAGGGCGGGTGACCCAGTAATTCCACGTCTGACGTCGCCAAGTAGTCGATTGTTTGCTTGGCGGTGTGCGACGAGACGTTGTCGTGGTGAAGGAGGATCCTATTGCGAGGTCGTTTCTCCCGAACTTTTGTCAAGACAAGGGGCAAACAATTGTTAGTGTACCACTCTGCAGTAATAGATAGTTCGATCCCCTAAAACAATTGTTGCATAATGACCTGTCCTTCCGAAGAACGAGGCAACCATCTTTTTTCCCACGCTTCAGCCTCTCTTCACTTTAGTTGGTAACTCCTCGGAAGGAAACACCCAGACAGTCTGTCTCTTAGTTTCGGGATCATTACAATAAATCCAGCTTTCGTCACACGTAATTATGTCGAACACAGCATTTGAGTCACCTACGTTAAATCTTTGAAACATTTCACGACACCTATTAACATGACGAAGTTTTTGGGTTTCTGTCAAATTATGAGGTATCCACCAGGCACAAAGCTTCCAGACCGCTAAATTTTCATAAAGGATTTTGTGCACTTGACTCATACCGATACCTAAGCTTGTCCGAATCTGCTGATAAGTCACTCTTTTGTCAGTCTCTATCATACACCGCAAAACACTGTTGTTATCTTCAGTCGTCGTCGTAGAAGGCCGTCCCTCACGCAGATCATCGGTGAAATTACAGTGGCATGAGATTGGGCTTCATTGTGAAAGGCTAATCGAAGACTATCATAACTTCCTTGTTGACTTAAATGACATCGAAAGTCATAAAAAATCATTGTACGAAAATTTTCTCGCGTTAAATTCATGCTGGCGTAACACAGACAATTTTCAATTTGCCGCCAAATCGTAAACAAATGACAAATTAATAAAATATATACACAATAATATTGGCAAAGAGTTCCATTTTCAAAATTTGAACTTATTTTTTTATTATATCGTTTACAAGTGGCCAGTTCTAAAAACTTTCAGTGTCGCCCTCGTATATAAGCCTTTGATTCCGTTGAACTTTGGGCGAAAAGTCCCATTAGCGGATTTAAAACATAAAACATGATTGATATGATCACTATAAGATGTTGTTATGTTAGCTAATTACGTAATAACTTAAGACAGAAGGACCCTTAAGTAGGGATTGAATAAATTAACCGACGTGGATCTCACTACTTTTCACGGTAGAACTGAGTTGCGAGACTTGGTTTTTTTACAAGTTATGTTTTTGATGGCATATAACTTAGCGAAATAGTTGACTTGTAAGAGGATTAGCGAATTAGTTCAAAACTTCAAAATCGGATAAAGTTTTTACTTCGTTTATAAGTCCTCTGTTAAAAAACCTGAGAAGAGCTTTGGGCGAATAGTGGTTTCCTATTGGAGTTTTATAAATTCCAATAATGTAAAAGGTTTTTTCTAAAAGCATCGGAAAGAGTTGTTAGTCGCTCATAAGCCTTCTGTTAACGAGGGAGAGGGCTTTGGGGGCGTATTGGTAACGTTTGGTGTCCGTCGGGCTGCAGCGGGGCGAGCGGCGGGGCGGGCGGCGGGCGGGTCGCCGGGCGACGAGTCGGACTATTTCACGCCGGAGGAGCCTGCCACCACCCTCCTCACCGGCCCGCGCCCCTCCAGGCCCGTAAGTGCGCCCACATCGCCTCGTATCGCCTCACATCGCCTCACATCTCGTACCGCTTCCCCTACACGCCATCTTTGTGTTGCGTTCCGTGCATTGTTGTTTATTATTCGTTGCATCCATTTTGTCATTTGGTGTACTCGTTTGTTCTTTTATGGTTCGAGCGTAGCTGGGAGCGTATTCTTGAGGTTTTTATTTTTAAGTAAAGACTGTACTGTGATTGGCGTATTCGGTGTTTTAGCATGATTGATATTTAGTTAATTTTAAAATTGTTAAATTTGTTTTACTTTACATTGTTACATCTTTACAAAGTATTATAATAGTTTGTTTATTTACAAGAATTTGGCACAAATAAGAATGTAAAATATATTATTTGACTCTTTACAGCCTACTGTCAGAATATCACAATCATTCTTTAAATACGATATTCTATTGGGTTTGGCGACTTACTTAGGTTTGTGCGCAGGCCAGGTTTTTATGTAGTTTAGATTTTTAAAAAACCACCGCCTGTCGACTTGGCGCTAGTGTCGTGCCTAGGCTGCATTCATACTTAAAATATTTTATCGCCTACGCAAACTCAATGAATTCAATTTGAAATATAGAATGAAATGCTATCTTTGAAATTTTGTTTTCTTGTAAGTACCTACATAAGAAAATAGAAAAAGAAAGAAATTCAACAAAATAGTTCCAGTTCGGAATAATATCAATGAAATAATTAGGCATGGTTCAAGTATTTTAAATAAGACGAAATTCCTTGCTACGCTCACCAACTACATAAGCATCGTAGTTTAGGGCATTGTAAGCTGTTCCACTTCTATATAGTGGGTTTCCTTACAGGAGGCGGGCGGTGTGACGGTGGAGTGTGCGCCACAGCGATGGGCCTTACCTAATCACGTCACTTCTCTACCAGGTACATATGATTGTTTGTTTACAATACCGTAACCGCTACAGCCTATTAAAGTCCATTGCTGAACATAGACCTCCCCCATATTGCTTCAAAGGGGGATATTTGCCATAGTTACGCTTGGCGACCGCAGTTTTTTTTTAATTCATATTAGGAAGACGCTGCTGCCCATCTCCTGATTTGTTTCCCTTTGTCGCCTCTTAAGACACCCACGGGTTGATAAGGGATATTGGATATTTTTGTACTGCCATGTATTAAAAAACGGTTAATCGCTATTCGATATAGTCTTTTTTATACCAGATTCAATAATCTGACTGTGATGCGCACAACATAAGGTTCGAAACGTCATCGGTGATTACGGCTTATCCTTCCTACGACGACGGTCATAGAGTGAACTACGCAATGAAGAACTTCTGTATCCTTGGCACAGGCACACCCTTGAGCCAGTGGAGCGCGCGCTCGTCGGGCGAGTCGTACAGCTCCACGTCCTCCTCGCGACAGCTGCTGGCCGCGGCCTTGCCGCCCGCTGCACCCGTCTAGCGCACATCTCACCCCAACTCCCACCAGCACCTCCCCCCACCCACCAGCACCTCCCCACACCCACCAGCACCTCCCCCCACCCACCAGCACACACCAACACTCCCCTCACTCCAGAACATACCCACACTCCCCAACTCCTCCATACGCAACTTACACCCCACACAGCCACAAAACTACCGCCCCTCGAACTTAAGCCTCCGCACCGGGGTGGTTCAGCGAACTTTAAAACAATATAAGCGCAGGATAACAACAGGATTGGATTTGCCGACAAATCCACTCTCTAAACGTCAATTTTCGTGACACTGTCTTGACATGGTATCATATTGAGAGTACTATTTTGTTTATTTTTAGACAATACAGCCAAATCTTGTCGATTATAATTCATAACTGAAACCATTAGAAATATAATTCCTTTTAACATATTTTAAAAGGAAGGAACTTAATAAAAAAGAGGTAGGTGTGATTTAGACTACGCAATTAATTTCTCATGGTTTTTTTTTTGTTCTAAATCAAATTCATAATCAGATGACCTTGGCTTTGCAGTCAATATTATCATTTCGTTATCGAAACCGGCGAGACGAAAAGTTCAATAACGTAGTACGATCGTACACACAAAAGGACTATGTCTTCATATAGGGCTCAGAAGGGCTAGAACCCAGAGTCGTAAAGCCAGTTAATTAAAAAAAGTCTTCATATATTTAGTTTGACCCTTTTAAAATCAGTGGGATTTCAGTCATATAGACTACATTAAAATGTGGAAAGTAAATTTTAATTGCAATAATCGACCCAATTCCAAATAACTTAAAATTTAATAATCCAATATTATATTATTAAGGTTTATTATAAGTCTACTGCATCGTATTTCTTATAATCATAAGATGAGTTATGAGCAAACAACTTCATGTAACAGAGATATTTCCCCGTGTAATAGTTTAAGATGTAACATTATGAATAAGACAAGTAGCTTAAGTTATAATATAGATTTTGGATATTGTTTAGTAATGATAAAAGGAATATAAACTAATTATGATATTGACTATTTCTATAAAATTGTTATATTAAAAACTGCAAGTAATTGCACAGTTAGATTCTTCAACATTAGCTTAAACAAAAGCTTTTTTATGTTAGCAACTACAGAACACAGGAGTAGCGGCAATTTAGATTTGTCATTTATTTTATTGATCAAATAAGTATTGAATGTAAACTATGTAGTTCGTGCGGATAAAGAGTGGGATTAGAAATGGCGCATCTTCGAGCCCGTACCACAGGATAAATAATAGTACTACGTACAGAAGTTACACTTTTTTGATGTTGACTGCGTGCCGACTTTTAATAGTCTACATAATTATTATTAATTGGATAAATCGCGCACGCAAGCTAAATAAATCTTTATCGCTGCGTGCGCTGGTTACTAAAGGATGTCAATAAAAAGTAAAAACATAAATTGCGAAATGTTAATTAAGTTACTTAGGTGAAGTACCTATTCTGACTATAATCGACTGACCACATTTTCGCCCCTATGTGAGTTCTGCGATGCCTAACGCAAGCAAATTACAAGGTCATTCGTCGGGAATCGCGATCCTTGGTTCGGAAGAAATTGATAGATAGTGTAAACAACAAATAAACTTGAAATACGATTCCTAACAGAAATGTGATCTATTCTACTAAGTTAAATTCTTGTTAGTATACAAAGTTTTAATTTCAACATTTTGTATTATTATAACTTAAAATGGTTTAATTACAAAAGACAAGTATAGGTATGTAAGTAGATACTTGGATAGTCAAGTAAGTTTTAACTAATTTTTGCAGTAAAGTACTTAGGTATTCCGTCTGTAGGAGGGCGTTCATAAATTACGTAAGGTGTTTATTTAATTTTTCTGTATCTCCCTCCCCCCCTGGTAAGATATCGTGAGATTTTATTCAACCCCCTCCCCCCATCCCCTAATCTCATGTGAGAGTTTTCAAAATGTGGGTTTCTTACGTAAACGCATTGGATTGTTACTGTAAAAAGAAAAAAAATGGCTTCGTGCTTTTATTTACGACTAGTTAAGACTAGAATTACTAAATATATTGATTAAATCAATATTGTTGAGAGTTATAATTGTTATAAAAGTTTAACAATAGAATCATTACAACAACATTAAAACTTTTACGACACAAAAAACTAAACAAAAACTATTTCAACAAGTATTTACATAAAAGTATTTACGTAAACAGTATTAAAAACTTTAACATTCAATCGCCTACAACGCGCTTACCCCGACTGCGTATAACGCCCACGGCGCCTCGTGATTATATGTAATTATTTCAAGCAAGTATAGGAGTGACAGAGGCCTGCTCGTACCATCAACATGCACAGTACCAATAGCGAAAACCCGCTAATAACTGGAAAATAGTTGAAAATAATTGCATACGCAAGTAGGTAGGTACATCAATTTTAAAATAACATTAATAACTATCGACCCGATCCGGCTTCGCCTGGGGTGGGGGGATCTATTAAAGTGTCGTTATTTAGACCATTTATTCTATCTTATCAATATTTATATCTTAATAAAAGCTCTAAATTTTTCGGAAAAAATTTAGTCTAGATCACTCCTGATACTACTTTTTGATTGTTAGCGAAGTGTTATTACAATCGGTTCAGCGATTTCGAAAATTAGCTCGGACAGTCAGACAGGCAAAACAACATTTTAAAAATGGTTACTCATGTTTCAATGAAAAGTAAATATTTTATAAAAATATTTACAAATAAAATCAACAATAGTTATGAAAAAAAAAACACAGAACGCGTTGTAGCTCAAAATTAGCAAAACCGGACCGACTTTTTTGTAGTTTATGGCATTTTGTTATTCATATATCATTAACTCCAATGGCAAATTGGACTGTAGTTATAAAACGTACGAAAAACGCATATCGTAACGTTTCAAGCAGTCTTTAGCGGCGGGTGTGGGTAAAGTTAGCTAGTGTGCGAACAAGAGGTGAATAGAAGAAACGCCACTTTCAATCCCATTCTTTGACTGCATGGGGAGTACATTTAATAAATTGCTTATGTATGTACATTCAATGCAGTATTAAAATGAATGATAATTCATCAGTATTGTTTTATAAAAATTCCTTCTTTATGACTGTATATTTGACTGGTATTTGAATCTCACATTGTATATATTGTGTATTCTAGTTATGTAAGAAATTATTTATTGTATTAAAGCCTCTCGTGTAAGCAATAGGTATGCAAATTTTAAGAAAATATATGTAACACTAACTTTATTAAAATGTATGTGGGTTATGAAATATTTTTTGTACCTACTCAATTCCTTTATAAGTACTATATTCTAACAAAATGGGAACCAACGACTACACAGCCCGAATAGACGCCTAATGTATGTATTTCTGCATCCAAACCTGTCTGTCAAAAGTCTGAGGTAAGCGGTACGGGGGAGGTGGGTTGAAATGCACGCTAATTGGTTAAAATAAAGGTTGCGACACTCGTAATAAGCAAATAGTGATGGGAACTTTAACTAATAAATTTGGTACCAAGTCTACTTAATCAGTACCAGAATTATAATATTCTACTATAAATTAGTACAAAATTAAGTGGTTTAAGAACTTTATTCTCATTAAGAATACAAAATTCACTTATCATGAGAACATAAAAATTTATAAGTTATAGCAATATCTGGAGAAACACAGAAGTTGGGGGTCCATTACAAATACATACAGTTAAAAACAGTCACAGCGTTAGAGAGAGATACAATCACAGATATATAGTTGCACTACGCTCAACAATTTACAAGAAGCGGCTTGAGATACATATTTAGTAATATTTTATTCCAATTCGAATTAGTAATGAACAATAAAAAAAACTATATATACCTTATTTGCACCTTTTTAAATATATTTAAAATACTTATTGATTATTATTAATATTTTTAACTTAATAGTAAGACCGTTATTTTATATAGAATTTTAGTAATATGTATTTAGTTAATAATTATTTTTGATGATATTAGTTAATATTTTTGAAGCTTACATTTGACTGCGATTCCTTAATGTCTAGGCAGTTTATTATATAATTGTGATCCTTCAAACACTAGGTTTCTTTTACCATAACTAGTTCTTGGTGCACGTAAAATGAGATCATTTGCATTTCTTAGCTGAATTTTTTGAATTTGTCTCTTTTTAGTGAAACTTAAATAAGTGTGGATATCTTTATTTATTATTTTACGAATCAGAATGCATGTATGATAAACGTACGATTGATTTATATTTAACAGCTTAGTATCATTATATATTTTGTGAGTTGGTGTCACATAGTTAAAGTTGAATAGAACCTTTATAACTTTATTTTGAGCTCTTTGTATTAGGTTCAAGTTATTCTTTGCAGCTGAGCATTAAAAAAAACAAAAGTTTTATTTAAGTAGGTATCGTATTTAGTAAAATACTTACAATTTTTTGTTTTAAAGAATATTTTTTATTAAAACAAGCGTTCTTTACAATTTTTAAATAATAATAGAATACTATTAAAAATAAAATAGCAACAGTTATACAATACTATCAAGTTCACTTCCGTTTCCTACATGTCTTACCTTCCTACATGGCGTCTTAGCAGTAAAGACAGCGGAGTGCCGTCTATTAAAAATTATATCAATTTTAGTTTGAATTATTTTTAAGAAGTTTTGATAATTTGATTTAATAATTAAATCAATTAATTCAAATATGGATTAACGTACATTCACTAAAAAAAATCAGCTTACACCTATGTCGCTTATTGTATAAGTCTGTAAAACATTCACGATAACATGTATAATATTTACTTGTACCAATATTATAGTTTAACTGGTACAGCACTAGTTACACTTGCCGGTAATTAAAGAAAAGTATAGCAACAATGAACTTCATTGAAAAGAAAGGGATGCATAGTCCGAAAATATCCGAAGATGTCCGAATAAATTAACGCGAGTTGCTTGTGACAAATATAGGTTGAGCTCTGATTTAATTTT